AGTACTCTCATTTTGCAGATAAGGAAACTGAAGCTCAGAATAATGTGCCGAGTAGGGAGACCTGGGCTTTGAACCCAGGAAGTGTGACTGTAGAGCCCCTGTTCCTAACCACTATGCTGTGCTGCATCAGGACCAGCTCTGGGGATGATCCATGGCCCATATTCCCATCTTGCTCCAATCTAAGTACATCCATCCCAGGGGCCTGGGTGTATGCCCTTCAGGTCACTGCCACTAAAGAAATAACAAAATGGAAAAGGCCCAGAGATGAGGCTCCAAAATGATAGGGAAGATGTGGGTTCTTCCGTATAAGGAAAGAGGAAAAAGAATAAGTCTTTTCCAGAGCTCTGATGTAAGCATGGGGATAGACTTTAAACATTTATTTACTAAATTCTAGGAGGAAAATATTGATTTGGTCAACTTTCATATGGAAACATTAAAACCTGAGAGGTGAGGGGTGCCTGGATGGCTTAGCTAAGTGTCTGACTTTGGTTCAGGTCATGATCTCAGTGTTCGTGGGTTCAAGCCCCGCGTCGGGCTCTGGGCTGACAGCTCAGAGTGTGGAGCCTGCTTCAGATTCTGTGTCTCCCTCTCTCTGTCCCTCCCCCGCTCACACTGTCTCTTAAAAAAAATGTATAAATGTTAAAAAATTTTTTACAAAAACCCTGAGAGGTAAGTTTGGGACATTAGTGTAATGTAAAATATTCTTCTCTCCATGTAGTCTCACTTTACTTCTAAGACCACCCTGGGAGATGAGGATAATCAAGATCATTTTGATAAACCAAGGACACCAAAGCTCAGAGGTAAGAGGTCTTACCCAAGGCCACATGAGCATCCATCAGCAAAACTGAGCCCAGGTCTGTGCCAGAGGCTGGCCACCCCCCACCCTCTCATGCTGTTCAGTGGTTGCTCCCCAGGCAGGTCTCAGAAAATCATAGCTTCTCAGAGGAAGTCAATTCCTGGAGCTAATTATGTTAAGGAACATTATAAAGTGAAATGCAATTAGATTCAAAGGAGGTTTACAGAGATTCTGGGGTGACAGCCTAATGTTGCAATAAGGGTTGGACTGTGTCTCAAAATTTTGCTATAGTTGTTCATTTAACAGGGGGACTCTGAGGCACTCTGTGCTTACTGTGTACAAGCACTGTCAAGGTCAAACATGAATTCCTTCCTTTATTGCCCATTCTATGTGCAGTACTGTGCATCATGCCCTCGCCCTCCTATCCTCCCCCCAAATGCAATTACAGTAAAACCTTGGCTTGTGAGCATAATTTGTTCCAGAAACACACTTGTAATCAAAGTGAATTTCCTCCTAAGAAATAATGGAAAATCAGATGATTCGTTCCACAACCCAAAAATATTCACACAAAAATGATTACAATACTGTAATATAATACAAAATAATAACGAAAATACAAAATATAAAGAAAAATAAGCAAATTAACCTGTACTTACCTTTGAAAACCTTTGTGGCTGGTGTGAGGGAGACAAGAGAGAGGAGGGTTATTGTGTAGGACAACTTTCAGTATCACTAACTGAATCATTGCTATCTATTGGCTCAATGGAATCTTCTCCTTTTCATGCAACTTTAACAGGCAACCAATCCAATGACACTTGCTTTTGTCTCCTTTTGAGGATTTTGTAAAAATGCAACATTGCATTGTTTCTAAACAGATTCATTGCTCTCACTGCTACAGCCTTATTTGGGTCGTGCTTTTCTACAAAATTTTTCACTGTTTCCCACATTTTACACTTCTCGCTAATCTCATTTGAAGTGAGGGATTCCTCCCCCTTTTCCCCCCTCCTCCTCTGTGGGTAAGATGCATATGTAGACTTCTTACAAAATCTTGCAGTTTTGGCCACTCCCATACCTTGTTTGTACTTCTCGATGATTTCTTTCTTAACTTCCACTGTAATCATCTCCTTATTCTTACTGCCTTTCTTTCCAACCTTTTTCTGCATGGGGGCCATTGTATGCACTTACACAGATGTTGACTACCATACAGTATTAATAATCTCTTGTTATTTACTGTATTTAATGTAACTGTCAATAAAGCAGCAGAGGAAAGGGTCTATATCTGCAGGTAGTCTGGGAGAATGAAGCAAAGCATTCCTAAGCTTACTTTTGTATGGAAAAGGACTGTCCATAAGTGCTTGGAAGTGACAAAAAATACACGAGTGCCAGTTGTGGGCACCTTCCAACATTCTGAAAAATCACTGATTTCTGCCAAAGGCTGTGGCCTGAGACTGAGCATCTGAGCATGGGAGATGACCACCCACAATCCCGCAGGGAGATTGAGAGAGAGAGATAAAGAGAGAGAGAAAGAGAGAGAGAGAGAGAGAGAAGAATCATTGGTTCAGTTGTGATCATGTGATGTTTGGCAAGCTATCGCTCATTTATTAGGATGTTAGAAACATTTGCTCACCTTGTGGAATACTCGCAAAACAGGTTACTCAAAAGCCAAGGTTTTACTGTACTCATATAGAGTTTTAGTGTGGGATAGAAAAGACATCAATTTAGAAGGAAAGGCTGGGACAGACTGTGGGGTAATTTTGAATGCCAAGATAAGCAATTTGATTTCATCCTGTAGAAAAAGGAAAGCCAATGCGGATTTTTCAGCAAGGGAATGACATCGCCATCATCGTCACAATAAAAATAACAGCTACTGTTCACAGAGACCTATTACTTTCAATGCTTTCAGCCTGCAAACCCTCACACCCATCCCATGAGGTCAGAACGAGTATCAACCCCACTTAGCAGAGGAGACAGCCTGAGGACAGCGATAACATAGTTCATAAGGGGTACAGCCTGGATGTGACCCCACATCTACCTGAATTCAGTTTCCTCTCACCCCAAACACTGCAAGATCTTTGCTTTAGAACATACCCTGCACAGCGCATGGGGACGGAGGTGTGGGAACCATCAGTATTTCACTGGGCGGATAAAGCCATGAGAGAGATGAGATTTCAGAGGACAGAAGCAGGGAGAGAAACAGCAGCCGAGGCAGGCAGTGTTAAGAAAAGCATGCAAGTGTGAATTTTAAGACAGCAAGAGGGGGAAATGGTGCAGAAAGTTACCTGGAGATCAGGCAGGATGGGGACGGACTAAGGACTGTAAGATCTGCCAAAAGAAGAGGGACTTCACAGACAGCACTTTCAGAGGAATGGTGGGAGTGGGCGCCAGATTGCTACGGGCTGAGCAATGAGTGGGAGGTGAAGACAGGGCCAGCAGCATGTAAACTTACTCTTTCAAGAAACATGGTAGTGAGGGGGGAGGGGAGGAAGGAGGCCTGAAATGGGAAGATGGAGGCAGGAAGGGTTTTCTAGGGGGTTGGAGGTGGGGAGAGACTCGAGCAGTTGTAAGCCAGAATGAAAGGAGAGGCTGAGGGCTACCAGATGGGGAGGTTCTTCCTGAGAGAGCCCCAGAAGGAGCTCCAAGGGATGGATGGAGAGCACAGTGGGTGGCATTAGTAACAGCTCATGTGGTTGGGCTTCTCCAGGGCTGTGAAATGACAGAGGTGGATCTATCTCTGTGGCTCCTTGCCCACTAATTTTCTTTCCCCTTTCTCCTTCCTCCCTTTCTCCCTCTTTTGCCCTAAGTATTTACTGAACACCTACTATGTGCTAGGTCTTGTGCTAAGCTCTGTGGCTATTATAATGAATGATACAGTGTATATAATTCTTGAGTGGTGAGATGGATAGTAAACAAGAAGATGCACACATATGTACATTGTGTAACTACACATTGTATGATAATGCTAAAAAATGCTAATGTTCATTGAGCACTTCCAATGTACTAAGTACTTTATAAGCATTTTCTCATTAAGTACACACACACATACACAAACACACACACACCCTAAGAAAGGCATTGTTGGTATTTCCTTTTGCAGATCAGGAAATTCAGGCACAGAGGTCAGATGACTTTACACAGCTCAGACAGGTGGAGTGTGAGATTCAACTTGTGTTTGCCTGTCATCAGACAGATGCCCTTAACTGCCACACTGTCCTGCCTCCTTGTGTTTAGAACAGTGAGCACGAGGATGAACAAGACATGAAGGTGTACCCATCCTATGGGAGCTCACAAACCTTGAAAAGTGGGAAGAAATTGAGTTCATTTACTCCCTGTTACCTTCAGGTGTGGTCTCCGGACCAGCAGCATCCACAGCACTTGGGTGCTTGTTAGAAACGCAGAAGCTCCAGCCCAGCTCAACCCCCTGGATCAGGATCTGCAGGGACCTGCAGGTGCTTGGTGTGCACCTTAAAGTTGGAAATGCCTGGTCTAGAGCCCACTTCTCTTATTAGAGATGGGCAACCGAGGCCCAAGCTGTTGGAGATTACAGTGAGTGGTGGAATTTGGGGGTTTGGCGTCAGCAGCCCAACCTAGGCCTGAATGGGCGCTTCCACTCTTGGGCTGAGGCCAGTAGGAAG